TTCTCTAGCACACCGTAGCAACAGGGAAAGCTTGCTGATCTCGAATCTAAAATGGCTCCCTTGGATAGAACGAAAACTTTCTTATTGAGTAAACTGATCACTTAAAACTGAAGAAGTCGTAGATTAGAGTGCGTTACTGCCCATATGACAAAAACCAAAAATGAATTTAGAAAAAAGATCTTGGACAAGGAAGAACTTTGGCAGTTCCCATTCAGCCAGGCAGCAGTTGATAGCTGTCACATTCCCATCAAATGTCCCCCAGAAGGTGCAAATGCCAAAAAGGAATATCATAATTTAAATAATTTTTAAGAGTCTCTGGTGAATACGAACTTTATCATGGATCATGGATGGATAAAGTCTGGCGCCTTTCATAACACTGGGCTTGCCCAGCCTCATTTCAGAGCGGAATAATTTCAATGCATTAAATTTGGCGCATAAGGAGAGCGACGTTTGACTCGGTGTCGCTCCACAGTCGCATAATGCGAATGGTCCTGCTTCTCCAAATTAATTTTGCCGCACCTAATTTATGCTGCTGCACTAAATCGAGTCAAACGTCGCTTTTCTCCAGCGCCTAATACAACTATTAGATTCGGCGCATGAGGAGAGCGACGTTGACTTGGGCCTGATTGAGGCAGAAAGCCAGAGAATTTCACAAGGCAATCAACGACTATGTACTCCGTGTTGACTTGATGATTAAGCATATAGTGTAGGCGAAACAGTTATAAGAGAACAAACAGCAATGAAGTTTGTATGAAAAACCTGTTAAAGTCAATTAGGGATTTTGGAAGATTAAAATAGACGTTTGAGGGAGGGGATGAAAAGTTGAAGGAGAAGAACTGTACTAAACATAAGATTTTGTTTCATAAGATTTGATTTGTTGGAAGATTACACGAAATGACGGAAACATACTGAAGTACTTTTCATCAGACTCTCTTCAGATTATAAAGGTCGTACGTTATGTTTCCGCTATCGCGTGCCTTCTTCAAATTTTGCGGTACCAAAACTAATTTGATTTTATTGAGTGATTATATGGCATTCCCTCATGATTCCGTCTTTAATGCATCAAAGAAAGCTTGCATGAATTTAGCAGAAATTGTTCTTTCTTCCCCACAAGTTTCGTATTATAGTAAAGTGGGGGGGCAAGGGAAAATTTCACACCTATAACAAAAGATTTTGTGAAAAGTTATTTTGTTTTGCAGAAAATTGGGGGGTCAAGGCCCCCGGCCCCCTTCGTCGGAGGCCCTGCATTTTGCAGAAGTTGCCCTTGGTTTTAGCCAATGGGCCAAACAATGTCCTATTCGTTAATGATACAAACACAAACAGTTTACTGTTTTCTTTTAACGGAGAAGTCAAGTTGGTAAATCGTCTCAGACTCAATTAGAATAAAGGTGTTTCTCTTTGGTAGATCGACTTATTTTTTTTGTAGTAAGGTGTTGAATCCATCTCAAGTTATAATATTTGCCTACTATGTATGTTGAAGCGCCGGTTCTATAAGGGCTTAAGATTCAATATAGATTGACGGAGAGCATTGAACTAAGTTTGCAAAATAAATCAATGGTTGATCTCTTGCTTGTCGGTTTATGCAAAAAATCGTGCCGACCAGAACTGCGGTTATTCATATTTGAACTGTTTTTATCGGCGTATTGGTAATAGGCCAACATTTGAATGTGCGATCGTTTATTATCAAACAAACTGCCTGAGTTGATAAAGTTCCCTTTGACGAAGCATCTGCGCCAAAATTATTACCATGTTGTATTGAAAAGAAATATTAATTCAAGCTATCAAAAGTCAAAAGCTCAATTCATCACCTGCAAAGTAAAAGGCATTCCAGTGGAAGCGATTCCCCTACGGAAATGTATGCCCTCAGAAATTATGTGCCATCTCTTGAATTTTTAGAATGTGGAAAACCTGTTAGGCTTGAGGCAATATGCTTTATAGCAGTGTTTTTCGACCACTTTGCCTCGTTACACTAGTTTGCCGTGGGGTATTGCCTGTTGTGCTGTAGAAAAATCTCCAATTTCAATTATTTTGTCCATAAAACAGGCTCAGTTTTTAAACTGAGTGAATGGAAATATTTTATTTTAGTATCAAATATTTTTTTTTGGTGTTTATTCCAATTCAAGACATTTCGACGAGAACGACTTTATATTGTGAATTTAGAGTTTCATTTTTTAACATTTTCTGTTGCTGGTGTCCCTCTTGATTTTTTTCAATGCAAAAATTTGATAGTATGATAGATAGTATAGAAAGATTTGTTCTGTCACACCCTTTTTGAATTAGTTTAATCTGTTCTTTTCAAATCTTTTTAAATTAGTGGAGTCATTATGCAACACTATTAAGATCGATTGTGGCAAGTTTTTTCGAACGAATGACAGCCACGTAGCTGTAGGGGGCACGGGGGGCAAATTAAGATTTTGACAACAACGTGCCCCCTCTGGCTACAGTTTTCCCCAATGATAATTTGAAAATTTGGCATAATTATGATCCCGTGAGTTTAATTTAGTCCAAATATATATGTTTGTTATATACCTGTTGTCTTATTTTAAACCCTGCCCCCCCCTCAGGTACGGTTCTTGCTCGAGTTTGCCCACCCTAGCCGACATCTACAGCTACGTGGTTGGCGAATGTTCGCATTACATCATTTTTAGATCGTTCACTAAAAGTCTTGCCAACTAATAAGAAATAAATATATCTTGCCAACTTGAACACTTAATCAAAAACAAAGGCTAACAGATCTCAGACTGTTAAATGTCCTTAGGATGCTTTATAAAAACCGGTATAGAGAGAAGACAGCTGCGTTTTTAATAGCTTAAAAATCAAAATCGTCAACAGAAATATCTTGCAACCATTCAATTCATTCGGGTTGTTTCATGGTAAATATATGTCATTATCTGGCTCGTCGAACCGAGATTGTGGGAGTAAACGACATCAATGGCAACATCAATTAGAGACGTTTGGGGGAGCGCAGACTAATCAGAAAATTAAGTGGACGAAAATTACTAGTAGTAAAGATATCTCCCACCAGAAGCGGCGCTACGGGGAGGAATGGGGGACACGCCCCCCAGTTCTCGGCAGGATCAATTTTGCATTTCGTCTAAATTCGACGAGAGAATGTCGAGGGAGGGGTAATATTTTAGCAACATACTTTTTGTGATGTAATCCTATGATATTCAATCTGTTGTGTTTACGTAAGCAAAAGTTAGTCATGGGCGCTCCCTTCAAGTAAAATTTGCGTTCCCTGTTAATAAAAGGATGTTTTCTGGTTGTAAAAAGAGCGTGGCCTAAAAATTTTTGCCTTACCCCTCCAGGTTCTAGAGGCTGGCGCCGCCATTGTCTCCCACTAAAAAGGACCTAGCCTGAGATGAGGCTCAGAGCTCGTTATTCGCAAGGCTAAAAAGGAGCTATATCTAGGGAGAATGCCACGACATTCTGATGCGTTGAGAAAAAATGCACAAAGAGACAAGATAATTTTATGAAGACATAATTGAGCGAAGGCATTTTTTATTTGTATGTTAAAAAGGCCCTGGATCAATAGCACATGTTGCATTTACAACATCGCTGCATAATTTCAAATGTGTTGCACAATATAGCAAAATGACTGACACCTTTATGCAATGTTTCAACAACAACATGTTTACCTGAGAATTTATAGTTTTTTGAGAACTGATTGTAATTTACTCATGGAACATGAAAATTTAACTAAGCTGCAAGGAGTTGGCAAATATATTAAGAAAAAGTCAATTTTAAAACTATTTTAAACATTGGTAGCTATAGCTATTTGAGCTACATCCAAGTCATGCATTTTACTGGGATCAAGTCATATCTCTTCTCAAAATCAGCAAAATTATTGGGAGTAAACAAGAACTACAAGGCGTTTCGAATAAAGCAAAGTCAAAAACATCAGCTATTAAACAAGTATCGGAATGGCAATGTAAAAACGTCGACAGGTGTTCTGACAAGCAAGGAATGGGAAGACGTCAAGAGCATTTGCATGCCCTGAGCAATTTGCAAGTGATGCTAAAGCCCAAGAATTGCAAAGGCAATTGCAGCGCACCTTCCAAGGAAACCGTGACCCTTGCAGCAACCTATTGAATACACGTGATGCCAAAAAGCTGTAACTAAGGTGTATGTTAATGACGCAGTCAACCCCTCATTAAAACTGCGACACTTACTGATCAAATGACTTTTTCAAATCTGGTTGTTACGGAATTTTAATCAGTTAAATATCAAATAAAATCAAATAAACTTTTCAGCATTATTTTGAAAGCATCAACTATTTTTGTTTACGATTTTTCTGCATTAACGTTTATTTGTGTCGCAATAATTTGCCTTTTTGTCTGGTGTTTAGCCAATAGGTATTTCTACAATTTGATGAATATTTTGAGCTGCGTCACAATGCCACGCCAAAACTTGGTATATTTTCGGTCACGCCCTATTTTGTCGGTAAATTTGTGACTGACCCCCCATCCCCTGAGTGAAAGTGTTTAGCGACGGCCCTGTTTGTTACCGTAAACTTTTGTTCCTTCTTTGATGATCTTTTGGTCCTAACTTTTGTTGATAAACTCTTGGTCCTTTGGTGTTTTTAATCGAGATATTTTTGTTACTTTGGCTGATTGAATCGAGTGGAAACAACTATTTGAGAGTGATTTGCAGGAAGGGTTTGATTTGAAAATTGAAGGAACAAAAATTCTTTTTCACAAGGCCATCTCGCTTGAAAGTAAAATTACATTTTGGAAAAAAACTCCTTTCTGATTCATTGGAATCCAACTATGCCTCTTTCTGGCGGCCATTATTCTGGGCTAGTCTCGACTGCACAGTTTTGCTTAGGGGCTTTCCAAAGTCAGCGGGAATTGTTGGAGGGCTTAAGCCCCTTATCCTTCAAGGAATTAAGGCCCTCCCTTTAAATTAGCGAAACTATTCTATAGCAGTTCTAAATTTTGTTGATATTAGAGTATACTGTGATGTTGATATTTTCATTGCTTAAAAATTTATTTTTTTAGATGGGTTTGTCAAGCCTCTCCCAAGACATTTACAAGATAATCGACATTGCAACATTAGAGGAATTAGCTTCAGGAGGGCCAGGATGCTACTTCTCACATGTAGAAGAAGTAAGTGTACTATGTTTTTTAAAGCTCTTTTCTACCATTCACCCAGCCAAGACGTTTTGAAGGATTCGCCTCATTTAGCAAACAAAACTCAGGCTGGCAGGCAGTTGTCTTGATAAAAGTAGAAATAAAGGGGTGAAGGGTTGTTCTAGAAAGAATTCTGAAGCCGCTAAAGAATGCTTTTGTGTCTGTAACAATACCCAAGTACTGCTTAACCGAAAATTTCCAATTCGGAGCATGGAAAAGGTTGGGAAACATAACATGCAGACCACCATCAAAGTACTCCTTACGTGTCTTTTAGGACTTTTTTATTATTATAGTATGTTGCTAGATAACGAGAATACAGCAAAATAACGTCAATTTATCTAGCATCATTAGAAATCAATTAGTGAACATATTCGATCTCGTAAAAGTCCTAAAGGATTTATATACGAAAAACCCACAATAATCTTAAGCCATCTCTTCTCCAGTTTTGAATTCCATCTATTCTTTCAGTCTCTCCAATAAAGATTTCAAGGCTTTGAATTATGCAACTTTTTATTGGCCAAAAGACGTTATGTATGAAACTTTTTGTTCATTGTCCAGTTTCTTTTTCAAGCTAAAACGAATTTAAATCATCATGTAGACATGGCAGTATTGCTGTGAAAATGACATTTTCTAGCTTCAGTTCAGCCCTTGGCAAGAACGTGTCTACATCTTCGAGATGCGCGTTAGGGGTTATCAAGCTCATTAAAACTTTGCTAGAATAGCTGCCAACTGTCTCTTGTAAGTGACCAAAAACCGTTACAATTCAAGCTCCATTTGCAAGGGATCGGATCCATTGCCACGGGTTGGACTTGCGTGCAGGGGCGCCGGAAGCATTTTGAGGCGGTGGTGGCACCTACTCAAAAAGGGCACATTTTCAATGGTTAACGGTAACACTGTAAGAGAAAAATGATATAACATAATACTTTGGTACCAATAAAACGTTTAATCTAAAAGGCCAGTCTAAAATTTCCGATGCTGTTGTTTAGGCTTTTGCTGGGGGGGGGGGGGGGGGGCGGTACCTTTACTGAAAATGTTTAGGGTAAAACTTTTTCTGAAAATGGCGGAGTTATCGGTATCAGTTTTTGAATAGATACAGAATTATAGTTACCATTTTAAAAAAATATTGCAAAATTATTAGGAGGGAGATTGAGCATTAACAAAATAAATGTCCAATTAGAAATGAATGTATGAAATATGTGCAATATTGAGATTTTTTGGCAAAGGACATGCAAAATTTGTTTGATGATTTTGTTGTGCTTTAAAAATGTTATTTGCTTTGCCGAATTATGGGCATAGTTTGCATCATGTTTGCGGAATTATGGGTCACATTTTTTCAGACATGTGCGGAATCATGGGTCCAAATTTTTTAACCAAAATTCCTTGTCTCCGTTCAAAATTAGGCTTTGCTAACCCCGTCGGCTGTTGGCTCTCGTGTCGTATCACGCTGCATTGTGCTAAAAGTACGTTCTGCAGTTGCATTTGAAAATGCAAATGAATTGTACAATTGCAATGACTTGTGAGTTCTGGCAGGCATTCTTTACGGAATTCAATTGAAGTCATGATTGATCAAAGGGTTTTCTTCTTTGTTACCTTCTATCTTGGTACAGCAACTTCTTTCTTATAAATTCTGATGACTTTGCTAAAGTTCACCTCATTTTAAAAAGCTTTTAGATTACTTCAATTTAAGCGTCTACTAGTTAACTTGGATTAATGTTACGCATTGTATTAGTGTTTGACATGCTCTACAAAAACACCTTTAATAGGGGCCCCATCTCAGTTTTCCCTTAGGACCCCAGATGCCTCTGTTACGCAAATCACCTTATCCTAAAGTAGTTTCCTAAATTTCAGAGTGTTGCCGAAAGAAATAGCATTATTGCAAATAAGTTCATAACAAATGCACCCAATATTTTAATTGCTATCATTTTGTTCCTAACTGCACTAATGTTTCATCTCACCTAAGATACTAAGATTTTACATATTTATTCTATTCATTTAAACACAGTGCCATTTTCACAAGGGCACAGTGCTGCCCCCGCTGTCCCCGCTGTCCCCGCTGTCCCCGCTGCCCCCTGCTTGCGTGTATGAGACTTTTCACATAGATCTGCTACTAGCATTCACAGGCTATTTATCACAAATGTCTTCACAATTTGCCACTGGCTTCAACGCATTCCCCAAAAATTCAATTTGCTTGATATTTTTTAATGTCTCTACTCTACACAAATATTATTAAGATATTCTGGATAAGAAGGCTTATAAACTCATCGAAAAGAACTAATTCTGACCAATCCTTTTGCATAGTCTAAGGAATCTGGTGGTGTCATGCGAAGGGTCGCAAAACAGCATTGAGTAGATTGAACCTAGATGCAGATAACATGACAATTACTTCTTTTCTCAAAGTCAGTCACGAATGTATGTTTTGGCCTAAACGCAAATGGAGCTATAGTGGGGACTGAAGTCTTATTGATCTGGGCAATATGGTTCTTTTTTCAATATTCTGAAATCGATGCTTGATGTGTGTGGTGGACCTGAATTAATGAATAAGTCCTATACAGCTCTTTTGCTTTTTTTTCCTGACGAGATTTTCCTAATGGTTTCCATAGCTGCTTGAAAAAGAGTAATCCGGTTTTCTTGAGAAACTATCGCCTCTCGCTTCGTATTTTTGTTTTCTCTTGCAAACATGATTTTTGACAACGGTTCCTTTGCCTTATATCACTCAGAAATAATCTTATATGATCTTTCAACTTGCCATAGAAGTAGAACTTTAGAAAGAGAATTAATTCAACCGCACGTCGTTCGTAATTAGCGAATGACATAAAACCTTGTATGATCTGTAAGAAGAGTTTTGCAGAAAACAGAAAGAGACTGCAAAGGCCCGACTCACAGCAAGATACATTTAGCTTTTAAATGAAATGTTTTAACTATCTTACATTGGCATAATATTACAAGATTCCTAGAAGATCTCAAAGTTAAAATTACGTTACTAAAAGCATAGATGACATAAAATTTGCAAAAATACTATTAAAATTGAAGGCAAGACATTAAACTATATACTCGTGATCCCAAATTATGAATCCGACAATACAAGTACTTTTTTGGTCAATGAAGTAAAAATGTGGACCTAAACTATGACATTTTCCCAAAACAGCGTCCTGGAAGAACAGAACCTTCAACTCTGTACATTTATAAACCTTATTAAAAAAACATACATACAGGCTGCCGAAGGGCAGCGAAAATTCTAAGAAAAAAATTTTTTGATCGTGTATTTGTGTTTTTTAATTATGGTTTATAAATGTACCGAGTTACCTAAGTATAATTTGTCATACAAGGCACGGGATCTCTTAAAATCCTTGGCCCAAAAAGCCAGTGACCGGAATTACGTCTCCTTTAAGTTTTTGAATACATTTATTGGTATTCTTGCATGATCATCACCTTTTACATTATTAATATCTGTTTGTCTGAAGGAAAACTAACAATAAAGAATATTTGATTAGAAAGTAAAAGTTGAGGATCCTTAAAGAAAATTGGAATTTTCGTGAAATCCGCTCCTCTTCATTCAGAACATCGACGAAAAGATCTTTCTCTTGTCTCGTTGCTGTATGCCTTGCCTCCCTTCTTCTGAATACGAGATTCTAGTCGGGGTAATATTTTGGCGACATATGTTATTTATGCAACCCTTTGAGTATGGAACTTCCTTTGCGTAAAAATAAGTTAGTCATGGACGTTTGCTGGGTGTAAATTGACGTACCCTGTTGGTGATAGGACGTTTTCTGACAATAAAAAGGGCGTGGCCTAAAAGATTTTTCTTTGTAAAACTTTCAGGAAAAACTTCTTTTTATCTTCTTTAATTTGTAAGGGAATTTGGAAAGATGAACTTTCTCGAATTCGCTAAAAGACAAACAATTTTATTTATAAAGTCCCTTTTCTATCGCTCTATACGATCTGAAGTGGAGGATGCATATTAAAGGTTGTTTTTTGTTTAGAAGAGCTGGGTTAATGGTATTAAAGTCTCTATTTTGTCAAAAGAAGTCCCCAAAGATTTTATATAACAATAATTAAGATCACCCCAGGTCATTATAAAACGAAAAAGAAACTTCAAATCTATCTTCATAGTGGTGTTTCCTTCAATTGTGCCAGTCAGCTTCATGATATATAGCTTTTCCTTCTTTCATTCCACAAGAGCATCAGACAGGTACAATTAGGCTTTTAGAGACCCTTCATAAACTTTCAGCTCAATTGATAAAGGAAAATAGCAACTTTCAGTCTGGCAAGCTTGTTTTCTAATAGTCTTTGGAGTCTGTTTAGGAATCTAAGCTCTGAAAGATTTGTCTAGTCACCTTTCCTGGGTAGTGTATCTTTATCGTCTCCATTTTCAGTCTGTCTTCGGATACAATTCTAAGAGGATTTCCGTAGGCTGCAGGCTCTGAATTCTTACTAGTTTCTGTTTTCAACTGGCCCTACTCTTTACCAGAGAAAACAGGCTGAAGAATTCCACACATATAAAACGCAAAAAGCCTTATGTTTGCTCTAGGTTGTTTTAATTTGATTTAATTTTCATATAAACTTCCAAGTATCATTAGAAAGGAGCAAAAATGTTGCACAGCAAGCGTGTGAGAAAAATGGGGCAGGCATATTGCCCTAGACATGTAGCTTACTCTAAGTCAAAACATATGCCTTAATATGTTTCGCCTGCAAAGCCCGAATGCTCAGCTGCATTAAAGCCCTTTTAATCATGTTTGTTCACATTCCTAACATGGGTATTTTTCTGGAGGCAAGTGGGGATATCGCCAAATTTTACGACAAACCCTTGATTCCCGGTATGAAATATCGTGGCGGAAAATCCTTACAGTCTGAGCTCCATCTTACATGGGTGTGTTTCTCTTAAGTCACAGAATTCAGGTCTGATCGTTTTAAGTTTCCTTTGATTCTATCGATATTTGATTTAATAGGCACTCATTATTCAACACTTAATCGTTTTA